CCGCATTTACTTCACGGCCGCATTTGCTTTATTACTTTACGGCCGCTTTTACTTCACGGCCGCTTTTATTTCACGGCCGCTTTTACTTTACGGCCGCTACTTTGGTGAAAATAAACAATTTTTGCTATAATCACACTCTCTTTATCCTAGTTTTTGTTATTAATAATTGTGTATCTACCTATCTTTGCTGGATTATTTATTTGATCAATAAAGTTTAAAGCTACTGTTGAATTTTATTCTTTTTTCAAGAACAAACACTCGCCTAAAAAAAATTGTGTGCACCTCGGCCGAATGATCTTTTTTGGCCTCACCTGAAATTTGCTTGACCTCGGCTGCGCCTCGGCCGCAAATTTCTGATTCGGCCAAAAAAGATCAACTTTACGGCCTTGGTACACAAATAACTATTTTGTTTATGAAAATAATTGATTTCCGTAAAAACTTTCTGGAAGCACTTTTTTAACCAGAACTCAGAAACGTTCTCAGTTTTTTTCTATTTGGCGCCGATTTTGAGATATTGACCAAAGTCTGATTTTTTTTCAATGGGACACCCTCTATAATAATAGCTCATTGAAAAGCTATGATTTTTCTGATTTCAATTTCAAGATTCGATGGGTTTATCCCTAACCGTTTTCGAGAAAAAAAATTATTTCGGTTTTTCTCATAAGAAGCAATGTGATAGAAAAGGACTTTATATCTGTAAGGAAAATGAAAAGTCTTTTTCTAACACATTGTTTCTTATGACAAAAATCAAAATAATTTTTTTTTCTCGAAAACGGTTAGAGATAAACCTATCGAACCTCATATCATTAAAATCAGAAAAATAATAGCTTTCCAATAAGCTATTAATATATAGGGTATCCCATTAAAAAAAACCGGACATTGGTCAATATTTCGAAGTTGGGGCCAACTAGAAAAAAATTGAGAACGTCACTGAATTCTGCATCAAAAAGTTCTTCTGAAAAGTTTTTACGAAAATCAATTATTTTCATAAACAAAAAAGTTATGGAGGTTTCACATTATTGCTCAAATTGAGAATCGCCCTCTAGCAGCTAAACGGTTGAAGATATCAAAATGCAGTTTGCACCAATCAAAATTTCATGAAATTTGAGCCTCAGAGTGGGGGGTTCATTTTTTTGTATCTCGCTCAGAACTTGACGTTTCCTATTAAAAGTGTCCAAATTGGCCCACCCTGTACATACCCGACACTTGCAAAAAAATGTTTCTTCTGCACGACTTGTGCGAAAAAATTGAGGGAAAAATCAAGTAAATAGCTATTGCTTATCAGTTTGCACAGTTATGTTTTCCCGCATGCGAAAGATGAATGATGCGGTGGATAAGCTTCAAGTGCAGTTTTTTTAAATTTTTATTGGTATCAAAAACAACAGTTTATGACTACCAAACTGAAACTATCTATACCTAAATTGCTTATTTTCTATTGAATTATTTAACCCTATTTGATGCCAAAAAAAAAAATTATAGTGATTTCCTGGGTTATTTCACTCATAAAAAAATGATGTTCCCAACACGTGCGCAAAATATTCATATAATAATTATAAATAAGTATTTTAATTTTAAATAAAATACTTTAATAACTGAAATTTTTCACTACATATTATCCTTATTTCATCAATTAGTATTGCATCAGGTTACAAGTACACTGACTGCCAAGAAAGACGTGTATTTATGTTTGTATAATAAGAACTAATTAGATTACATTTATAGGTGGTGGTGTTTAAAGAGCACATAATTATTGAGGTCAAATTTTAAAAGGACTTTATAATATGCACTTTCCACTTGAGGTGAAATACCTGTAAAAATTAAATAATAATAAATTGTTGCTTCCTCATTTTTTGTATTTCCTTGTTTAATTCAATTAAAATAGAAATTAAAAGGAAGTCGTTTAAATTTATCACCAAATAACAGTAGGTAGGTACATAATGACAACATTGGATAGTGAAAGTTTCAAATGGAAAATTTCAAAAATCCAAAGAGAAAACGCGAAGTTTTAATGGCATTTAAGATAATTTTTTATCTTTAAAAATCAGGCAATTGAAAAAATAAGGGAAAAATCTAGGTCGCCTTATGTCTTCTAATCAGGGAGTCTAGCCTAGAAGGAAAAAGGGTGCGGTTGATTAAAAGGGTCCGATCCTTACCTTATCCGCCGGAATATGTCTGTTAGACATTGTTATCTACCAGAAGGGCATTAAACGGAATGTCTTTGTCCGAGAAAAAAGTCCACACTTTAATTTTAAACACTCATTTCTACACCATGACAGCTAGTAAACTTGCGATGATTCAGGGCCCAACAAAACAAACATTCTATTCCGTTCCTAGGCTTCCAGCACAATCACTTGGGGACTGGAAACCTGGAATTTCGATTTTCTAGGATACCAGCCTAACCACTACACATTAATACGAGGGTAAATAAAAATTTCTTGATAATAAAAAAACAATGCAATTCACTGCAGACGACAAATCGTTCTTTACAATTTTTTGCATTCGCGCCTGCGCAACTGTTTGTGGTGGTGGTGTGGTGGTCAGTTCCTCTACTCTCCACCACTGACTCCACTATCGCACAAGCAAAGGAGCCTACTTTTCTGTCCTCCTTTGTGTAATTTGTTTTTGTAGCGACCTTCAGTCTTTACTTCGTTCGTCCAATCAAAAACCTTGAAAAGATTAATGTTGGATTTCTATTAGCCCAAGAACAAAATTTGATATTTGTAGAAAATTTCTGTCTTTGAGGAAAATAAAAATAATCATGTATTTTTTTTTTAAGTATTTACTTTTCAAAAATTTAAAGGTCCTATTTTAGAGAAATTTGGCAACGCGCCTACATCTCCTGGCTGCGTTCAGATTGAACGTCGGTTGTCGCCCGAGCGCGCTCTGACCGTTCAGATTGCTTTGGGTAAAATTTACCCAGCCGTTCAGATTATCAGTAGATTTTTACCTGACGACACCCCGACGCACACTTTTGCATCCCATAAAAAAGTAAGATAAAATTTGCCCCGCATGCGCGTTTGTGTTATGTTTATGTTCTAACCAATAATAAAGGCAAATATTGTAAATATTATTGTTGGGAGTTATGGCGAGTTTATCCAACAAATAAAATAAAATAGGAAATAAATTAAAATAAGAATTAGGGGTTAAGAGGTATTATTTTATATGTGATAAGTTCTACCAAAAAAATCAAAATAAAATAAAATAAGAGTTGATTATCTTTGAATTTTCTTTTTTCTTATTTTACAAAAATGTTAGAATCACGAACACAGTGAATTTTGAAAAGGCAACAAAATCAAAATCAAAGCATCCCATAAATAGTGATGTTATGAGGAGAGAACGCGTTTTGGCCGTTCAGATTGCCAGAATCGCCAGGCACACTCGGAGTGCACTCTCTATCGGGTACGCTCTGCACTGGACGTCGCCCAGACTCTTCAATCTGAACGCGCCCCTGCAAGGCACATCATAGCGTTCCAGCTCTGCTCTAGTGTTCTTAACTCTTGAAAGGAATACAACTATCCGTGCGTTCGGTATTTTGATCTGAGCTCTCCGAACTTGAATTTACGTTCGTTTATTCAAAAAGTGTACTCGGTGCAGGCTCATTTGCGTTCGTATATTCAAATTTCGGGTACTCCGACACAGCGTACAACTGCTCTGTTCGCTCGCTGGTCACGTGATTACGGCTGCGCTCAGCACGCTCTGCTCTTTGAGCAAAATACCGAACGCAAGATAAACAACTACAGACGAGCGCTTTCCGAATACTTATATAGTTGTATTCCTTTCACACCTAGGAGGAGTTCCGGCGCTCCGGCACAGCTCCGAGACGTTACGCGCTTATTCCTTTCGGAAAAGTTCTTTTCACTTGGTTCCGGTTTAACTAACCGGGTTACAAAACGGTTAGAGAAATGACATACCGTTTTCTAACCCGGTTACAAACCGTGCGTTCGGTAATTTGATCTGAGTTCTCCGAGCTTGAATTTACCGTTCGTTTATTTGAAAAGTGTACTCGGTGCAAGCTCATTCGCGTTCGTTTATTGAAATTTTGGGCTCTCCGATACAGCGTTCAATTGCTCTGTTCACTCGTTGGTCATGTGATTACTGCTCTACTCGGCACGCTCTGCTCTTTGAGCAAAATACCGAACGCAAGGTATGTGACGTGATGGATAAAGTGCGTTTTTTTTTTAAAGATAAAAGTCATAATGACATTATGTTGGCAATACAATGTAAAATTGTCAATGTTTCAAATTTTTTATGTAGAAGAGGCTTGTGTTGCCAACATAGCTACTAAATTTTTGACTTGGGGAATTATCTTTAAAAAAAAAAACGCACTTTACCTACCACTCAAATTTGAGCGGTGTGTTATGGTTTGTTAAACCGGAGCCACGTGAAAAGGGTTATGGTATTTGTTGCACGTTGCACCAAAAGTGCTCAAGCCCGAACTAAAACCATAAATGCACGAGAGCCAGCGCATATGTTCCCTTCAAATCGGGGTCGACTAAAATCGACGCGAGCAGCTCTTATTGTTTTAATCTCTTAAAAGGAATACAATTAATAGCGAGTTGTATGGGGCAAGTGCAATATTTGTCAACGATTGGCCATTTTAGCCGCTTTCCAGCTGTGTGCTTCAAGCACGGTGCAGCACAGTGTTCTGTGTTTCAAACGCAAAAGTTAGCAGCTCTGGAAGCGCAGTACGGCTGGAACACGAACACCGAACACGCGCTTGAAGCATTTGCGCGCGCAAAAGCTCGATTGCGTGCTCAAAAGCGTCAGCTGGAAAGCGGCTATAAGAGCAAATTTGACGTTTTATGCGTGTATCAAACGTCAAATTTACGAAACAATGTCATACAAATGCGAATTTCGCAGTTATGAGTAGTAGGCATAAAGCAGTTGTCATAACAGCGAAATTCGCTCTTTTTCGACAATTTGACGTTTTATGCGTGAATCCAACGTCAAATTGTCAAAGCAATGTCAAAAAAGAGCGAATTTCGCGGTTATGAGTACTAAGCTTGAGCTGGTCCAATCAGCGCACCTGCTTCTTGCTCCAGGGAGGTCGTGCGGCAGTGTTAGTCGAAAGTTTGTTGTTCCAACATTTTTACCGTTTCTATAACCAAGGGCAAGGTTCAAGGTTCCTAAAGTCAAAGACTCTCGAACCAAGGGCATGTGCTTGTTTTCCATTGGAAAATCAGGGTAAGGATTTTTGCTCTGAGAGCAGTTTATAGGCACGAGCTACTAGAGGTGGAGCGACTGTCACTGCATTATTAGGCAATTCAAACCACGTGACATTCAAGATGGCGTGGCGGCAGCACATGGACCAAAAAACACAAAAAATTATCTATTTTCCGCCTGACTTAATAGTTTCGGTACATAGTCAACAGATATTTTATTAAATAATCAAAATCAAGGTTGCAAGAAAAACTCCAAGCAAAATAATTTAAAATACGCATGAAAACATATTCAAAACAAACTTGCTTGGCCGCCACGCCATATTGAATTTTCCATTTTGACAGATGGATTGAATTGCCTAATTCAAATATAACGTGCGTTTTTATTCTCACCGATGCGCTCAGCGATTAAGCGAAAATGTCAATTGGCTGTTTTTATTCTCATCAGTAAAACATCGATGAATTTCACCGGTCTGTTTTTATACTCATCTTGCATCTATCGGTGAAAGTACGATTAGCCATCGAATTCATCGTGGTTCATTTCCGATGAACTGATGAATTTGAACGTAAAATCTAACCTCAAAATTATGTTGACGGTTATTTGATGGCCGACGGGAATCGTAATTATAACAAAAAAAGGAAAAATGGCATGTTCAAGTGATCTAAAGGATATGAAAACTCGGACTATGAACTACAACTGAAATTTAACACTGTTTTTGTCATAAAAATTTTAATTGGAGTATTGGAGTAAACTGGAGGTCTTCTAATACAGTCTATAAGGAGATAAATATAACACTGATTGCTAAAACAGTTTTAAATTAAGAAATACCAAACCTAAAAGCTCTGAGTCTAAGAGAGAGAAAATATATCTGAAATATCAGATCAAACGAATTTGTGAGTTCTTAAAGCTCAGCTCACACTCTCGGAGATTTTTTTAAAAATATTATCTCACCTCCACTCTCCACTACAGTCCTAATAAGTCTAAAATGAGTCAATCCAAATCATTATACAAAGGAACTACGGAAGAAATATAATTTTGTATTTTTTTATGTTGTCTGTTTTCTACAATTCAAGTAAAACTATTTCATCTGAAGAACTATCAGACTCATCGCTTAATGAAGAGCTCACAAATCACAATAATTATTGCTAGCACTAGACTTGGAATCATGGTATGGTTACGATTTTTCAAGCAAATAAAAAATAACATGCACATAAGTTTGGCAAATCAAATAAACAACACAAATTTTAAATGTCAAGAGTATAAATTCAAGTGTCAAAATCCATCGAAGTGTTTTTTAGTTGATTCATTTCATCAACAAAATTGCGATGAATTTTGATGACGTAATCCTCATCGGCGCTCATCGGTGATGGAATTCATCAGGAAAACTCGATGAGAATAAAAACGCACGTATAGCAAAAAAGTTCAAAAGTGGCAGACTCTTCGATGGTGGCAGAATAGCTATTTATGTACCAAAGGGATTATGGAGATTATAATGCCCGAAGGAGAAACTTATAGCCCGAGGGCCTCTGGCCCGGGTCTATGTTCATATTTCGAAAACAGACATTTCGAATCTTTTATTTCGAATGCTTTTATTTGGAAAATCAATCATTTCGAAAACATTTATTTCGAAAACTTTTATTGCGAATTACTTTTTTTTTGAAATTCAATCATTTCGAAAACATTTATTTCGAAATTTTTTAGTTCGAATTACTTTTTCTTCGAAATTCAATCATTTCGAAAACCTTTATTTCGAAAACTTATATTTCGAATTACTTTTTTTTCGAAATTCAATAATTTCGAAAACATATATTTCGCAAACATTTATTGCGAAAACATTCATTTCAAATGACTTTCCTTTCGAAATTCAATAATTTCGAAAACAATAATTTTGTTTGGGTAAGTTGTTAGTTTGCAATTTTAATCAGAAATTACCAAACTTACCAATAATAACCTGGTTAGTTTGGATTAGTTTGCAATTATAACCAGAAATTAAATTGCAAAATAACCCAAACTAACCAGGTTATTATCGGTAAGTTTGGTAATTTCTGATTAAAATTGCAAACTAACCCGGTTATTATCGGTAAGTTTAATATTGTCTGAGGGAGCGCACTGCATAAAGATCATGATAATTTTATATTGAGTTTCGAAATAAATGTTTTCGAAATAAAAGCATTCGAAATAAAAGATTCGAAATGTCTGTTTTCGAAATATGAACATAGACCCCTCTGGCCCGAGGGATATTTTTCGCCTGAAGGGCATTATAATCTTAAAATCCCCGTGGTGCATACAATGCTTTATTTTCTACTTAACACATAATGTTTTTTCATCAATTTATTATTAACAAAATCAGTTAAACTTGTGTGACAGAATATTGTTTTTCTCCAAACGTCAAAAAAACATCACTTTGTCAACACCTGTCAAGATGGTAGAAATTCAATTTCTATGTTGCTAGGCAAATCCAGGAGGTTAACACCTGTCGAGGTGGTAGAAATTTAATTTCTATGCTGCTTGGCAACCCCAGCGGCAGCAAAAGTACTTTTGGTGCCGCTGGAGCGGCAGTAAAAGTACTTTTAGTGCCGCTCGTACTTTTACTGCCGCTCAACCATCCAGTTACCCCCGAGCTTACCACATTCGTTTGGAGAAAAAATAGCGTGTTGCATACGGAGTAGAAGCACTGTTTTGTGCTTCAGCAGTATTGCGAGCCGAACGTAGTAGCAAACCCACTGCTTCAGCACAAAAAAGTAAAGCTTCTACTCCTAATACAACAATATACTATTTGTATTTTGACATGTACTTGTACCTGTACCTGCGACCTGTACCTAGAAACGAAATAAATTATTAAATCTATAAACATCTCATAAGGCAAGGCAACGGTAGTGGTCCTGCGAGTCCTGCGAGTTAACGCGCGTGGACTAGGTACATGGGAAACGTTGATGGTAGACCGGGTTCGAATCCTGGCTAGACCGAAAATTATTTTCGGTCAGACATTTAGTGGCTGCCTAGGGTAAAGTGCAAATTAATAGAACAACAACAACAAAAACACCTCAGAGTATTATAAGCGGGCGTTATAGAACATAACGCCCGTAAAAGCGGGCGTTATGGATCAGGTTGTTATAGGTGTGTTAACGTATTTCGTTTCCTAGGTATTATGGATCTATAATAGTAAAGTAGAAAATAAAGTTATTTATGACAAGACAAGCTTGTTACGATATGAAGCTCGTAGGAAAAATTTTGTTCCTAACACGTGCCAAAAGTTTCTTTTCCGCACGCAAACACTTATACGAACTCCGATTGTTTGCGTGCGGAAAACTAACATTTTGCGCACTTGTTAGGAAAATAACTATTAAAATTACACATTTTGTAGCATTTTTACAGGGGAGGCACTGCGTCCCCTCCCCCGACGGGCCTGACGAACCACCACGGGTGATTAGTCAGCGGCTTTGTTGAAAACAGATGAAAATAAACTCTAGGCCAATCAAAACTGTTCTATCTTGTGTAGTCCACTCTTCTCTTAGATTCCACTTGATGGAACAAAGACGCTTACATCATTCAGCATGTTGAGTGCTGAGCAGTGATGCCAACTCACTGATGTGAAAAATCCCTAGATCAGGCAAAAATGGCCAGGGATGGGCGTCTACACGTAGACTTTCATTGTCTACTTTACGTGTAGACAATGTAGACAATGTAGACAACGTGTCAACAATGTAAAATAATATAAATGACCTTTAATTCTAACCTCACACATTTCTTTTCAAAAATTATTTTTATTTTATTATCGGTTTTCCTCACACTTATAATCAGTGAATGCTAATATCAAAGTGATAGGTATAAGCTACTTAGGTAGTAGTAATTTTGGAACTTTTTTTTTAAATTTTTTAAAATAAGTTTATTGTTTACGTCACATGTAGACAATGTGTAGACAAATGCCCACGTAAACAATTCGAATTGTCTACAAGTAGAAAATCAATTGTTTACGTCAGTGGCGTGCGGTGGTCTTTAGAAATACGGAAGCGGCGAAAAGTCACAGGGGGTACCCCCCCCCTTTAATGCGCCGCAGGCGAAAATTTTTGAAAATTTCAAGGTCAATCATTTTTCTAGAACCATGCATATAGGTACAATTGTAATTTTGCAACCGGTAAACCATTCATATTTCTCATAAAATCTCACGTGAAAATGCTTCGTGAATTTCTTTGCCGACTTCTCTACTTTCGTTTCTAAATTAATAGGATCCATTAGCCTACCCGAATTAATAATCTCCTTTTTCTCTTCAAAGTTTCGACTAGAAAATCCTTTATTCGTGCATTGCAAAAAAAAAAACAACCACGAAAAACCTCAGAAAATTCAATAAAAAACACAGCACTACGATTGTGTGCCATGGTCGCTAAATGGCACCAGTTGGCGGCATCGGATTTTCAATGCAAATCGAGATAAAATAAGTGGAAGGCGGCCGAACGAGCGCTGCCTTGGCTACTGAATTCGCACGTTTTCGCCCGCCGGCCGGCGTCGCGTATGGAGCCAAAGGGTCAATAACCCCTTCGTCCTCTTCAAAGCGAACAGCAGCGATTTCCAGACGCGCTTCCAAGCTTGGGCGGCCGGGCTCGACGCGTTGCGACAAATATTGGTTGCGTTTACGTTTTCGCAATGAGCTTTTAATACATTTATATCCTACTGAACTATTAAAACCATATAACACCTTGGTTACGATAATCATAAACAGGGTCTTAACTCCCAAGGGAGTTAAGGATTTTCATAACTCCCAAGGGAGTTAAGGAAGGGAGTTAAGGATATCATAACTCCCAAGGGAGTTAAGGATTTCCATAACTCCCGCTTTTACCTTGAATAGGTAACACTTTGACAAAAAATAGAAATTTTGATTTATGGCTTATTCCTTTCTAAAAATAGACAGAATACAGTAAATTCAGTAGGATATAAAATTATCCATGTACCACGGGAATTATCAGGAGTTAATACCCACGGGCAATTGGTGTCCCTCGGGCCGGAGGCCCTCGGGACACAAACGTTGC